GTTACGTAGTTATGTCGCTAGAAAAATCAATAAATAGCCCATGTACTCTACTGGTATCCAGAGAATTTCAGTGGATCTAGAAAATGTCCACAGTACACTACAGGGAACCCCCGTCCCATAGAAAATTTATGAGTACACAGCCAATTCTTGTACCGGATAAGGACAACAGTTGTAATGGATGGCTTACACTGCTGGGTGGAGTACTCACATCAATAAGATTACAAATCTATCAAAGTATGTTCATTTCCACGCAGACGGTGGAATTTCAAATATGTCAACAAACATCTGCATTCAACACAGACTTCTCTGAATTTGGAGCTGCCCCAAACCCAAGAAGAATGATGTCTGGGTCACCAACTATCCAGAAAGGCCAAAAGCAGCCCCAAAGTTCTTATACTCTACTGTATAGAATTCTCTTTTTAACCAAGAGAAAATGTGTTCAGCAATAAATAATGGTCACCAAAGGTATTAATTCTTCATTCTGTGTTTGGCAGAGATCAAGACTAGAAAAAGCAATAGCATTTCAAATTAACTGCCAAGAACATCTTCATTTTTCTGGCAGGAAGGAAGCAGAATGTTTGGAATGGGACTGTTTTAGCTTTTAAATTGACAAAATACCTGTTAAAATGGACCTGAAAAACTTATTCAAAATGGATAGTGCAGAGAAGTTTTGGTGCTTGAGGTGAAACCAAGATGGTGGAGTAGCAGGAAGCAATGCAGATGTGTTCCTCTCCACTAAACTCTGCAAAACAGACCTAAGTAATACACTAGAGTGAATCCTGATGGGGAAATCCAGAACAAAGTCACAGTGAGTCATTTGTTCAACCCTGCTCAACATATGGAGATAGGTAGAGAGACACTGGGGACAGAGTCTGGTCAGGGGCATGCCTTAAAGAGCACTCGAATGCCCAGGAAGAGGCTGGGCACCAAGGCAAGAAAAAGTCTTAGATCCATACCAAGGCAGCCCCAGACTCATATCAGGGTACTATGACAAGGACAGCTTAAAAGTGACAACTTTGTTGCCTACTATCCAGTTCGGGGTCTCAGATCTAGAGTAGAATGGAATCAGAGTTCCTGGACAATATTCTGAGAAAAATGAAGTTCAGAAACCACAGCAGGGTGTGGTTCACACTTCAGGAGTAGAACTGGGTTTCAGTCCCTGAATCTGAGGCCAGCCTGGCAGAAATTCCAGACTGGAGGGAATCTACAATTTTGTGACTCTGAACAACAGTTTTCCTAATAGAATCCAAGTCCAGTAGCAGTCCACAGTTGTTCAGATCAAAACCTAAGTAAGGAAATGGCAGAGCTGAGACCAGAGAGATAGCAATAAGATTTTACCCAGGATTAGACCATTTGGGGAGCACTGAAAGCTTGTAGGGCCCCAGACTGAGCTGTCCCTGAGATCGTAAAATATAACACAACACTCTATACCCAGAACCAGCCCAGACTTTCCCTTAAGAAGTACACAGAACCAGGTCCTAACAACAAATCTGAAGTCAAGAAGTAAGTTAGAAGAGTGAACAAACAAAAACTAATACCACTAACAGGGAAGCTCATGATATAAACCAGGAAGAAGAGAATAACTCCAAAACATCTACAAGCAAAGGCTCAAGGGAAACCATAGCTTAGGCACAAATTCAAAGAGAATTTCTGGAAGAAATGAAGCAAGAGTTAAAAAAAAAAGTCAAAATGTTTTTGTCAATGAAATGGGAGCACTTGAGGATAAAAGTGGAAAAGAAATGAGAAAGAAGAAAGAACAGAAAGGGAATTAACAGCCTGGCATAAAAAGTACAATAAACTTGACTAGGTAACAGACTCCCTGAAAATTAAAATGGACCAAATAAAAGCCAGTAACTCCATGAGACAATTAGAAAGATCAAAACAAGTCAAAAGACTGAAAATACAGAGGGAAAATGTTAAGTTTCTCATGGGAAAAATAACCGATCTAGAAAACCAGATCAAGGAGAAAAGAATTTAAGAATCATTGGACTCTGTAAATGCCATGACTCCACCCTCACAAAAAAAAAAATCTAGAAAACCGTCCAGATCCATCAGAATCAAAGGACAAAGTAGAAAAAGAAATAATCAATTGGTCATCTTGTGAAAGAAATACCAAAATGAAAACTCCCAAAAACATCACTGCCAAAATACAAAGCTTCCAGGTAAAAGAAAAAATGCTGCAAACAGCCAGAAAGAATTCAAGTAGTGAGGAGTCACAGTCAGGATCACTTTTGATTTAACAGCCACCATTACAAAGAAGTAGAGAATTTGGAATATGATATTCCAAAAGGCAAAAGATATGGGCTTACAGCCAAGAATAATTTATTCAGTAAAACTGGGCATAATGTTGAAGGGGAAAAACAGACCTTTCATTAAATAAAGGATTTCCAAGCATTCCTGATGAAAAGGCCAGAGCTGTGTACAAACTGTGACATTCTAACATAGGAGTTAAAAGGACACACTGCTCACATTCAAATATGCGGAGATGATATGTGTCCCCTAGGAACCCTATCATCATCAGGGGTCATAGAGAGAGTCTAATTAGACAGTCAAAAATCATTTATTAAGAACTTACTGGAATATGCCAGGCATTATGCTAAGCACTGAGGATACAAAGAGGCAAAAGATAGTCCTTATCCTCAAGGAGCTCACAATCTATTGGGAGAGACAACAAGCAAATATATATGTACAAACAAGCCATACAGAAGATAAATAGGAAATAATCAACAGAGAGAAGGCACTAGAATTAAGAGGTTTGGAGAAAGGCTTCCTGTAGAAGGTGGGACTTAAAAGAACCTAGGGAACACAGCAGATAAAGATGAGGAGGGAGAGCATGCCAGGCACTGGAGATAGCCAGAGAATACGCCCAGAGCCAAGACATCTAAGTGTCTTTTTTGTAGAACAGCAAGGCCAGCGTCAATGGATCAAAGGGTGGGGAGTAGGATGTAAGTAAGATGTAAGAAGACTGGAAAGTATAGGAGGAGGCTAAGTTATAAAGGGATTTAAATGCCAAACAGGGGATTTTGTACTTGTTGAGTAGTTGAGCAGAGGAATGAAATAGTCAGATCTACACTTTAGGAAAATCACTTTGATGGCCAAATGGAAGATGGATAGGAGTGGGGAAGACTTATGACAGTCAGACCCAGCAGTCTCTGCAGTAGTAGGCACAAGGAGATGAGGACTTGCACCAGAGTGGTGGTGCAATGGTGAAAATGACAGGCCTTAGCAACAGATTGGACACATGGGTGGAGGGGTGAGAGGTAATGAGGAAGTTAGTGTGATACCTAGGTTGTGAGATGGAGGGACTGGGAGGATGCTGTTGCCCTCTAAAGTAAAAGAGAAAGTAGGAGGCAGTGAGGATTTAGGAAGGAAAATGAGTTTACTTTTAGACATGTTGAGTTTAAGATGTCTACTGGATATGCAGTTTGAAATGTCTGAAAGGCAGCTGAAGGTCAGGCTAGGATAAGTAGATTTTAGAACCCCAAAATTCAAGAGCAAAAGACGCAGGTCCTGTCTCAAAAGATTTCGACTCAAGCCTTCTTTCAGAAACATAAAACATCAGTTGAGATGGGACAGATTTTAAAAATCTAAGTAATTTAATGGAGAAAAGATGGACCTTTTACACAGAAAGACTGTGGGAAGATCTGGATGTGATCTAGGAGTGGACAAGTAGTCTGGGGTGACTGGGAGGTAACAGAAGGGGTCTAAATGGAATTAAGGGTGAGAAGCAGCCTGACAATGAAGGACTGGGCTAGGTTAGAGGTAACAGAGAATTGGAGATTGGGACAGGGTTAAAGCCACAATGCAAGGACAGTTGAAAGGATTATTAACTGGCAAAGGCCAAGTGCGTCAGGCAAATGCCAGGGACCTGGGCCAAACGGGAACATCCAGGGCCTTTCTGTGGTCCATCAGTAGCTCTCCATCAGTGTTTGTGTTAGGAAGGTGAGAATATGGATTTTTGCTGATTGAAAAAATTTTTTAAAGAAGTTCTGTTGCCTTTTCTACTCAATTAAAATAGGCTCAGGTTTACCTTCATACTAGTTCCTGAGGAACTATATTTATTGATTTTTAAGTACACTTTCTCTTAATTTTATGTTTGTTCCCATAATTATTAATTCACACTACTGCAAGACGATAACGTGGAAGAAAGGTTTAGTTCACATCCTATTTCATTAAGAAAACAGATTTAGGGGTTTAAGAAACATGAAAAGAATGTGAGGAGTCAGGAATTTGCATCAAGAAGTGCTAAATAATTTGTTAAAAGGTAAGAATGCAAAGTAAAATTATGAATCATCAGTAAATAATTATATTTATTTACTCTATAAGTAAACAATCTAAGCTTTTGGTTTTAAAGTAAAGGCTCACTAATCTAGGCTAAGTAGAGGTAACAACTGACTGGATTACTGAAAACACTTAAAACACTTTCAAAGAAATACTCTTTGTTCCTTTCAAAAATAAGAAGAAATTCAACAATATTGCCTACAAGAGTCTTGGAGGGCCTCAATTCAAAAAGCATTAAATAGGTTCTGACTATGTGCTACTGGAGTAAGAATTAACCTAAAAGATCATACTGTCAGTCCAAACCCCTCATTTTGTAAAAGGAAACTCAGAGCCAAAGATCCAAGAGTGATTTGCCTAAGTGGATGTAATGATTCACAATGGCCACCTTAAATGAATAACAAAATGTGTCACTTTCTAACTATTCAAAAACATGTGAGTGTGTGGTGTTTGTTTATGGCATCCCAAAGACTAAGTTTTGTAGACATTCTCCTGGCCTTGTGTGAATCTGGATCACAAGATTAGTTTTCACTCTCGATTAAGGTGATGACTGAACGAATATAAATTTCAACTTATCACAAATTACTAATTAGTAGGGTTCATGCCAATAAAGTTTAGTTCACTACAAGCACTCAGAGAAATTTCTTCCTCAAAAACTAGACTGCGTATACAGACAAATATTGAGAAAATCATCCTGAATGTGTAACCCTAGGAATCTATACCTGGAGGATCTCGGCAAATATAGCAGGTGTATTTCTCAGGCACGTTGTCTTCTAGCAAACCCATGCACACTCCATGCTGCCAGCATTGACATTCTTCACACTGCAGAAATTAAGCAACAAAGTCAGATTGCAGAGATGTCAAATATATTCTAATGACAACCAACCTGGGAAGCCTTTCCCTCACACAATCTATAGGCTTATTTATTAACAAGTAAGACTTTCACAGCTAGTCTAACAGCATTCACACAGGTTCTTCTCATTTCTGTTCATGTTTTAAGGGAAAATGATCAGTCAACCAAGGTGGGGGAGGGAAGGGGAAGAGAAATCAATCAATAAAAGGTTTTCAATGTGCTCAACATTAATTACGGATATCAAAGTATACACAAAGTAGTGCCTCCCTTAAGGAACTCACGACCTCATTAGAGAGAGGGAGAAACACACATGAAACAAGTAAAGCACAATTGAGTGCTTAAAGGAGTTCAGAAATGAGAGTAATAAAAGTAAGTTTGAGAGACACACTTTATGGAAGAGATGAGACTTTTGGTGTGCCTCAAAGAATGAGATAAATGGAGAAGTAAATGTTTCGTGTCAATATTATTGGATATAATGTTAATCACACTTAATTGAAATCACAAATTTAATTGACTTTCAAAAAAGTTTCATATATGGGACACACAGGGCAATGCATCTCAGTTTTCTTCTAATATTGTCAAAATGCAATATACCAGGGTCAGTTTTGTGTTGCTGAAAGGCTGCTTATTTCATTAGTCTCTAATGCTTATCCTTCCATTATAGCTATAAGTAAATCATTCAAAACATCTGTGCTTAGATAGAGCTAGAACTAATGGGTGAAAAGTCAGAAGGGGGTAATTTCAGCTCAATGAAAGGAGAATTTTCTAGCAAACAGAGGTCTTAGAAACTGTAATGGACTGCTTTATGAAAGTAAGGGGCTTTCTCTCAGTGGGGGTGTTCAAGAAGTTAAATGATAACCTATGCGACATCCCCAAAGAAGCGGTTCATGCACTGCATGAGAAGAGGACTAGTTGTTCTCTAAGTTCTCTTCCAACTCTGAAATCCTAGGAAAGACACATCAGGGGATGTGAGGAAGGTATTTAAGCATACAAATGCATCCAAGTAATGCACCTGAATCACTAAAGAGATGATTTTTTTAAAAAAAGCTTTTAAATATAAGTAGGTAAAATTAAGTAAATAAAAGTAGTTTCTGAAGGTATAGAATCAATCAACAAGCATTTAAGGTGCTACAATGTGCCAGCACCATTTGAGGCACAGAAGATATAAAGATAAAAGTAACAGTTCCCATCCTAAAGATGTTTACCTTCTATGAGGGAAGACAAAATGTACATATTCAGGTATATACAAAACATATACAAGGCAATTTTTAATGGGGAAATGCAATAGCAGCTAAGGGGATCAGAAAAGGCCTCATGTAGAAGGCTGCACTTGAGCTGAGTTTTGATGGAAATCAGGTTTGCTAAAAGGCAAAAAAGAGGAGGGAGGGTATTCTAAGCATGAAGGACAGTCAGTGCAAAATCCTGGAGATAGGAGATGGAGAGTCATGTATGAGGAATAATGATAAAGTCAGTATGACTGGAACATAGAGTGTCAGAAGGAGAGTAATGTGTAATAAAGCTGGAAAAACAAATTGGTATGAAGTCAGGAAGAGCTTTGAATTCCAAAGAGTGAAGTTCTGACTAACTAGAAAAGTGATATGGGTAAGACCTGACTTAAGAAAATCACTTTGGAACTGTGTGGAGGCTGAACTGGAGTGGAGCAGATATGTGAAGCAGAGAAACATTGTGGAAACTGCAATTTACCCCTCTCAGACCTAGATAAATCTAACAAAAACATAAAAAAATAAATTAAACACCGGAATGAAATTTTAGAAGTTAGATATGATAGACTTCTGAAGAATAATGAATGGGAATGAAAAGAATGCATCATTTCCCAGCTGGGCATGGTTCTTCACAAAAAATTAACATATTTTAGGGCATAAAAAATTCACAAATAAATGCAGAAAAGCAGAAATACTGAGTGTGTCTTTCACTGATCATAATGCCATAGGGCAGCTAGGTGGCATAGGGGATAGAGTGGTGGGACTAGAGTCAGAAAGACTCATCTTCCTGAGTTCAAATTGGCCTCAGACACTTACTAGCTGTGTGACTCTGGGCAAGTCTCTTAATGTGTATTTGCCTCAGTTCCTCATCTGTAAAAAATGAGCTAGAGAAGAAGATGGGAAACCACTACAGCATCTTTGCTAAGAAAACCCCAAATGGGGTCAAAAAGAGTCAGACATGACTGAAACAAGTGAAAGAACAATCTACTAAAAAAATTACATTCAATAAAGGACTTTTGAATCAAAGATTAAAAATTAAATGGAAACTAAATAACTTAATCCTAAAGAATATGTATGTTAGGGGCAGCTAGGTGGCACAATGGACAGAGCACCAGCCCTGGATTCAGGAGGACCTGAGTTCAAATCCAGTCTCAGACCAAACACTTGACACTTACTAGCTGTGTGACCCTGGGCAAGTCACTTAACTCCATTGCCTAACCAAAAAAGTTAAAAAAAAAAAAAAAAAAAGAATATGCATGTTAAGGAACAAATAACAGAATCAATTATTTCATTAAAGACAATGACAACAATGAGATAACATACTACAATTTGTGGAATACTGCCAAAGCGGTATGTAGGGAAATTTTTATATCTCTAAACATATTCATCAATAAAAAAAGCAGATCAATATACTGGGCAAGAAACAACAACAAATTAGGAAAAAGTCACTATTCTAATCTATTTTAATTAGAAAATTTTTAACAGAAAAATTAAACACCAAAATAAAAATCCTAAAGATCAAAGGAGAGATTAAGGAACACTGAAAGCAAAAAATTAAAAAAACAAACAAACTAGGAGGTAGTTTATTGAAAACAAACAAAACAATATATAAGCAACTATTAACAAGGAAAGAAAATCAAATTATCATTATCAAAACTTTAAAAAGCGAATTAACAACCAATGAAGAATAAAATCAATTATAAGATCTATTTCATCCAACTATATGCCAATAAAACTGATGATCTAAATGAAATGATTACAAAAATAAAAATTGCCCAGATTAACAGAACATGAAATAAAGAACTTAACCCTACTTTAGAAAAGCAAATTCAACAAGCTATAAACTATTTCCTAAAGAAAAAAATCCCAAGACCATATAGATTTATAAGCAAATTCTACAAACATTTATAGAATATCAATACTATATGAACTATTTTTAATATAGGTAAAAACAGGGGTCCAACAAAATTCCTTCTATGACCCCAAAATGGTCTTGATTAACTAACCCAAGGAGAGTCAAAACAGAGAAAGGAAACTATAGGCCCTAATGAATACTGATGTAAAAATGTCAAATAAGATATTAGTAAGGAGAATAAAGGTATGTATTACAAAGATCATACACTATGATCAGGTTGGATATATATCAAGAATGCTAGGCTAGTTCAACACAGGAAAACTCTAGGCATAACAGACCACACTTTTAACAAAAACAACAAAAATCATATGATTATTTATAGCGGCAGAAAAAGCTTTTGACAAAATACAACAGCCATTCCTGTTTAAACATCACACACACACACACACACACACACACACACACACACACACACACACACACACACACACACACACACACACACACACGAAGAGGAATAAAGATTTCCTTCAAATGATAAGTAGTATCCGTCTAAAACCAAAAGCTAGCATTATCTGTAATGGTCATAAGCTGAAAAGCCTTTCCAGTGAGATTAGGAATAAAGCATTATTTATTATTCAATACTGGACTAGAAATGCTAGTAATAGCATAATAAGACAAGAAAAAGAAATTTAAAGAATAAGCAAAGGCAAAGAAAAAAGCCCAAAACTATCACTTTTTTGCAGCTGATATATAATGGTTTACTTAGAGAACCCTAGAAGGTCAACTGAAAAATTAAATGAAACAATTAACAACTTCAGCAAAATTTCAGGATATAAAATAAACCCACACAAATCATTAGTATTTCTGCATATGATCAACAAAATTCAGCATTTAAAGATAAAAGGAGAAATTCCATTTAAAATAACTGGAGAAAACATTCTTGAGTAGGCTAAGCCAATATAATAAAAATGACAGTGCTGCCTAAATTAATTAATTTATTCAGTGCCATAGCAATCAACCCAAAGGCTTACTTCGTAGATAGAAAAAAATAATAAAATTCATCTAGAGTAACCAAAGGTCAAGAATATCAAGAGAATTAATGAAAAAAAAAAAGTGGGGAGGAAGGAAGCCTAGCAGCATCAGATTTCATACTATACTACAAAGTTATAATCATAAAAACAATTGGGTACTGGGTAAGAAACAGAGAAGTTGATCAGTGGAACAGAGATTAGGTGCACAATGCACAGAAGCAAACAAGCATAGTAACCAAGTATCTGACAAACTCAATGATCCCAACTATTGAGGTAAGAACTCACCCAACAAAAACTGTTGAGAAAAATGAAAAAGTAGTCTGGCAGAAACTAGGTATAGACCAACACCTCACACTGTACATATAAAAATAATTTCCAAATGGTATATAACTCAAACATAAAGGATGACATTATAAACAAATTAAAGGAGCATGGAAGAAATCACCTGTTAGATCTATGGATAGGAAAGGAGTTCATGATCAAATAAAAGATAGAGAAGATTAAAGGAAGTAAAATTGACAGAAAGGTTTTGCACAAACAATGCAGTTAAATTAGATGAGAAATAGGAAATTGGGGGGAAAATCTCTGCAGCAAGTTTCTATGATAAAGGCTGCATTTCTAAACTATATAGAGAATTAAATTTATAAGAACCATTCTGATCAAAGGATAAATGAATAGATAATTTTCAAAGAAAGAGATCTGAGCTATTAACAGCCACAAGAAAAAATGCTCTAAATCACTCAAAACTAGAGAAATACAAATTAAAATAACTCTGACTTGACACTATATGTCCATCAGATTAACAAAGGGAAAAATGGAAATGAAATGGAAATGGAAAAAGGGAAATGACAAATAATATCTGGCTATGAGAAAACAGGTACTTCTAATGCACCAATGCTGGAGCTCTGAAGTGGTCCAACAATTTTGGAAAACAATATGGAACTATGCCCCCAAAGCTATTAAACTGTGTATATCCTTTGATTCAGTGACACCACTGATCAATACACTAAAGAGATCAAAGAAAGAGGAAAAGGACCCATATGGACAAAAATATTTATACCAGACTTTTCATGGTAGCAAAGAATTAGAAATTAAGGGGTTGTCCACGGAAGAACAAGTTACAATATATGAATGTGATGTAATACTACTGTGTAACAAGAAATGATAAAGGGGATGATTTCAGAAAAACCTTTTAAAACTTATTTTTTCAAATTATTTCAGAGTGAAATGAGCAGAACCAGAAGAACAATTTATACATTCACAACAATATTACAAAAATAAACAACTTAAAAGATTTAATCAATGCAATGACCAACCACACCTCCAACATGCTATCCACTTTCCAATAGAGAGATGATGGACTGAGAGTGCAAATCAAGGCATATTTCCTTCCTTCCTTTCTTTCTTTGGTGTGTGTGGGAGATGGGGGTGGGGGTAGGGAGTTGGTTAGGGAGTTAAGGGACATGGTTAATGAGGGAATGTATTTTCCTTGATTAAACATATTTGTAACAATTTTTTTTGTCTTCTATAGGTGAGAAGGGAGAAGTGAGAGGAAGGAAATTTGGAACTGAAAATAAAATTGAATTCTAAAAAGAACAAAATGAATAACTAGAAAAAATAAAGAGATTTTTTAAAAACTGGCATAAAGAACTGAAAGAAGAATGAATAACTAAGAACAAAAATCAAAAGACTGACAAACATAGAGAAATCTATAAAAACTTGAAAAACAAGTCAAGAATATTTCAGAAACAATGGACTCCTTGAAAACCATGATTTAAAAAAAAAAAAGGTCTGGTCCCGATCTTCAAGAAATCACATATGAAACCCCCCCCATATATTAGAATCAGAGGACAAAGTAAAAAAAAAAATTCAAAAATCACCTTCTGAGAGAAAAACCAAAAGGAGAAGTCCCAGGAAAATCATTGCAAAATCCAGAATTTCCACATCAGAGGAAAAAATACTATAAGGAGACAGAAAGAGTTCAAGTACCATGGAACCAAAGTCAGGATCCCACAAGACCTGGCAACTTCTATTCTCCATAACAGAATATCTTAGAGTATTCCAAAATCAAAAGGTATGAGCTTGCAACCAAGTATAACTCATCCTGCAAAGCTAAGTGTAGTCCTACAGTGGGAAAATTGAACTTCTAAAGGAATACAAAATTGTTGAGCATTCCTAATGGAAAGAACAGAGCTGAGTAAAAACTTTGAAATGCAAATACAAGAGTACAAAGAAACCTAGAAAGTTAAATTTATTCCAACAATTGGAAGGGGTTGTATAGCAAAGGACTAACATTTTAATAACAGGAGAAGAAACAAACCCTCCACAACCTTAAAGTCTTCAAAGGGTTCTGTTCTGCGGGTTTGAAGAAGGAAATTAGAAAGGAGGTTAAAAGGAAGAGGAAGGGGGTGAAATGTGCTATTTCTTATAAATGGGGTGAATACCCCAAGAGTAATATCTAAACAAAGAATTGGATGAGGAGAATGGGTATCAGATGAACCTAATTCCTACCTGAACTGAACAAAGTTGGGCTGAATGACTACACAAACATAACACTGAGAATGAATACACACAGACAAACGTAAACATACATACAGATTTCTATAGAAATACCTCAAATTCAACATAGAAACAGGCAGCGATAGGGAACGTAGGAGGAGGATGCTAGCAGTGAGGGAATAATCACAAAGCAAACCCTCTCCTTGTTCCCTGCTCTGGGGCTCACCATGTAATGCTGAGCTTAGTCCAGAACCCTGACTGGCTTTGGTGCACTGCAGCTAAGAACTCCTGAGTTCAAGAGATCCACCAGTCCTAGCCTACCCAGTAGCAAAGATCACAGGTGTGCCCCACCACGCCCAGCATAAGAGAGCCTTTTATACCACTAACTCTCTATTTACAGTGAAATATACATTCCTCCAGGGTAGAGTCAGCTTCCTTACAGTTTTATTCCCCAACACTCACTACAGGACTTGAACGAAAAGATATGAGAAGACACCCTCACTCCACCCCTCCGTGGAGGTGGGGAGTCCACAGGTGTTACACATGGCATATGTTTTCAGACTTTTTCGATGTATAGATCAGTTGTGGTGATTTTTTTCCCCTGTCTAAAATACTATTTGTTATATGGGATGGCTCTCTGGGAGGGGAAAGGATCTGTGGGATAACTACAAACCTTATTTTTTAAAAAAAATTGCATCCACATACCTGAATCATAAAGTCATTTTCTTCCTGGACCTCACAAATACATCGAACGACTTCAAAGTCAAAGTTGTCTTCTCCATCAGGATCATCATCTGGATTAGTGGTCACATCAATATCATGGCTACAGTCCTCATCACTCCAGAGAAAACTCTCTGGAGAAGAGTCACTCACATTATCTTCTTCTGTGGCATGTGGGTAAAGAAATGGCAACTGCTGAGTATATGTTCTTTGGATGAAAGAGTGAATACTTAATATTTTACAACTATATTAATATAATTTTACAATTTTATATCACTTTGCAGTTATAAAAGCACTTTATATACATTCTCATATATTATCCACAAACCAGTTCTATAAAAGCACCTACTGTGTACAAGGCATTGTGCGAAGCACTTTATAAGTACTTCCTCTTATTCTCAGAACAACCTTATGAGGCAAGTGCTATTCTGATCCTCATTTTACAGTTAAATAAATTGAAGCAACTTGGCCAGGGTTGCACAGCTAATGTAAGTGTCTGAAGTCAAATTTGTTTTTTTGTTTTTTTGCTAATCAATGGGGTTAAGTGACTTGCCCAGGGTCACACCGCTAGTAAGTGTTATGTGTCTGAGGCCAGATTTGAACTCAGGTCCTCCTGACTCCAGGCCCAGCATTCTACTGCATCAACTAGCTGACTATAAAAGGATCTACAATTGAGATATATTCCCATCTTACAGATGAAGAAAATCAAGACTCAGAAAGGTGAAACAAAATGTTTATGATCACTCAGCTAGTGAGTTGGGAGAGCAAACAAGCCAGAGTTGATCTAGATTTATGTTAACATAAAAACAAGCCAGGTCTCTGAACTGCAAGTACGCATGTCCACAGTACCATAAAGTATTTTCTCTTTCTTGTGACTCCAAATCTCTCCCCCACCTCATTCACTTCCAACCTACCAGAGTTCTGTTCACAGTAAGGCTCTGACAATCTGATTCATTGGGGCAGCTAGGTGGCGCAGTGGATAGAGCTCTGGCCTTGGAGTCACGAGGACCTGAGTGCAAATCCAGCCTCAGACACTTCACATTTACTAGCTGTGTGACACCGGGCAAGTCACTAAACCCTGATTGCCTCACCAAAAAGCAAAAAAAAAAAAAGAATCTGATTTATGAAAAAATTATAAAATACTAGTTTTTTTAATATAAGTGTAATATTTAACAGCCATTATATAACTTAACACTATAAAAGAGCTACAAATACAGAAATCCCTACTGATTTTTATTAACCATACTTTTATTTTTTTAAATTATTTTTATTTATTTTTTATTAACCATACTTCCTGCCAGGAGCATGGACAATCAAAGGGTGACTATAATTTTTTTTTGTTTTATCTTTAATTGGTCTTATTACATGTTGACTTTCTTACATTCACAAGTCTGCAGGTAAATTTACCTAAATATCACAGATTTCCCACTTTCACAGTATGGAGATCTTTTCTTTCTTTCTTTCTAAAAAAGTTTTATTGATGTCTTTTGTTTTTACACCAAAGTCATTTCTAGAATGTACCATTCCCTCCAAACCCCCAGTCTTCCTGTGTAACAAAGAAAAAAAATTTTAAATCCATATCAAGCAAAACCACGTTTCTGCTACTTCTGACCCAGTGTAAAAAGGTATGCAATGTTCCATACCCACAGTTCCCCATATCTTCTGCCAAGCGACCTTCCCCTTAACACTTCTTTTTAAAAGGTGGCCCCTACTTCAGTTTTGTACTTCCTGTAAAGCAGGGGAAGCTTAGATAATATTTATACATATGCATGAGGAAAAGACAGCCAGCAGGGGTCTTGTTTTCACTCCTAAGAGGTTTTCATTTTCTCTGTTATCCCTGAGAGGACTAGTATGAATAATCCTCAACACTGCTGTACTTTCAGTTGGTAAATGATTTAAAAGAAGTCAATATAATCATAAAGAACTGATATCCTTTGTTCAAGTCACAGCACCTAGATGAATTTATCAACCTCAGGCTGTGGCTTCTCAGGAGGTCTTCTTGGTATCTCCTGGATCTCATCTTATATAAGCTGGTCAGACGAAAGAGAAAAATTTAACCATTTGCTATTCTACTTTCCAAATTTGGTAGGCAAAGTAACAATATAACGTGGCTTCTATTACCTTTAGACAAAAGTTTCAATTCGAAGGAAGTAAAGAGAAATTCAATTAAGCAGAGGTGGGACAATTAGCAGTAGCAAAGAGTGGAGGAGGAAAGAAAATGGTTTCACGGATTGGCTTATTTTAAAGGAATCCCTGCCAAAAGTTTCCTTCCATTTCCTAAAATCAAACCATGACATTAATTTGTTGTTGGGGTATTATAAACAATGAAGCAAGCTAAATTTAGCACACAGTCACCTATTTTAGTGTGGTGGACATTACAGAACCACACAATTTCAGAATGAAAAGGACTCACCTTGCTAGAAAATGGATGAAGCATTTTCTGGAAGAATTCCCTACTACAGAAACATATCTGTCAACAGGGGGTTCAAGCAACCTCCAATAAAGGTCTTTACTTCTAAAGAAATAAACCCTCTCTAAGTTTGGATTCTGAGCAGCCTTAAAGTTTCCTCCATGTTGCTGCCTATAAAAACTTACATGGCTCAGAGGTTTGGGCTCTCTACTGGGATAAGGGTACCCCCCCTTTATTCATATTTCTAAGTCAAATGAATGGGACATATATGCTCATTCTTACCAGGTATTTTTCCTCTTTCTCGGTGATTTCCAGAATCAGAGCTATGGACCAATGTACTCAAGGAAATACCAGATTTATTTGAGGAACTACATCTGGTAACAGCAAACGGCTTGGGAGGTGAACACTCTTGGGAAACATCACTAGCATCTTCACTGCAAGAATATTCTGTAAGTAAAACAAGATCAGGAGTGAATGATGCTACATGGACAAATAGACCTGTATTGAATTTAAATAAGCAGCAAGTACACAGTACAATTTGTGAACTACAGAATTTTGTGGTGCAAACATCAGTTACATAGAAAGATTTTCTTCCAAAATATTTCCATTAGCCTTTTTTCACATTATAAAGGATCAGTCCTTCTTAAGAGTGGCTGAACCTGCCTGAGAATAACTCCCTATAACTTCGGGAGTGTGAGAAGAATCAATCCCTCAAGAGCCAGCCCTAGTTTTCACCTAATTAGCAGACAAACAGTGCAATATGTGGAAATTTTGGTTATCATCATTTTATGTCAACATAAATCTAGATCAACTCATGTGAATTTCATCAGGAATAAACTTACAAATACTAACCAGGTCTCAAAACTAACACAGGCAAATCTCATCTATTCTGCATTCTACAACCAGAATTGAGGACCACCTCAATATTCAGCAATGTGATGTGGGCAGGGTTTGGGAAAGGGGTGAGATTAACTTTTAAACTCATTTTATCAGATTACAGCATCCCAAAATCGGGGCAAAGACAAAGTGCTTCCTCACCTCCAGAGATTAGGCAGCAACTTTGAATACACTGCCCAAACTTGAGAGGACTAAGAAAAAACCCACTCTCATATTCCGCCCCCATATTCAATTACAAACAACTTTTCCACAAAGGAAAAATATTACCAGGCTTAGATTTCTTTTTCTTTTTCTTTTTTTTCTTCGACTTTAATCTTACATATTGTCTGAACTTCTTTTCTTTGTTCTTTTCCTTGTCTTTTACAGCTAGGAGAGAAAAGAATTTTAAGCATTATTTTAAATCTGACAAGTCTTTCAGTTCTTTCTTCTCTGATTCGTATCCCTTTTTCCTTCTACTGTCAAGGGCATCAGCTTCCTTTCTGATCACCTGAATTTGCAGCCTCAGTGTCACTCTCAATTCTTCATTCACCCCATATACACAATCCACTGCCAAATCCTGTAAATTTCTTCCTTCACAACATCACTTTCTCCTTTTCTCCATTCATACAAGCAAGTTCAGGCCCTCATCACCTCTCAGACAGACCACTGAAACAGCTTTCAAACTAGCCTCCTTGCCTCAATTATCTCACCTCCCCCAACCATCCACAGCTGTTAAGGTGATTTTTCTAACACACAGGTCCAAATAATGTCACCTCCTACTCACTGAATTTCAGTGGCTCCCTATTACTTCAAAGATTAAATATAAACTCTTTACTCGAGCAGGTCTTTACAGCTTAGCCTCTTCCTATCTTTCCAGGCTTCTGAGATATTATTCTACTATACACACTCTTGAGTCCAGCCAGACTGGCCTACTTGCACTTCCTCATGCCTGAAGCTCTTCTCTCATCTACGTGCCTTTGCACTGGCTACCCCCATGTCTACAAAGTTCTTCCTCTTAACCTCTGTCTCAAAAAAGCAGTGGCTCCCTTTAAGACTCAGCTCAAGTACCATCTCTTGCAGGAGGTCTTTCTCAGACCTGCCTCCTCTCCCCTCCAATACCCATTCCCACCTGATAGTGCCTCTTCCCCTATAAGGCTATCTTCCATCACTTTGCATACACTGAATTGTGCACATCTTGACTGCTTGATTGGAATGTAAGTTCCCTGAGGACAGGAATCGTTTTTACCTAGTGTTTAGCACAGTACCTGGCACACAATAAGCATTTAATAAATGTCATTTTGCTAAAATAAAATGCTACACTGTTAACTAACGTGCAAACCCAAAAAACAGCAATGAAAATCAGGCCTTCCTGAGAGGCCAATGGGATGGAATTAAGTCTAATTAGAATTAGACTTCTAATGAGCAGTCCTAGCTTCTAACACTAGCTCTTCCACTAATTGACTATGTAACCTTGACTAAGTCTCTTTCTTCCTCTGTAAAATGAGGGAGGCACCCTAATTCTTCTTAGGAGCTGCTTTTTATTTTTATTTTTTAATGTCTTGGGAGGAGACAAGTATTCCAAATGATATACCACAGTCCTAGCTGAGAAGTTAAAAAAAATTTTAAGAGGAAAGGATATGGTCACAGCAACGAGGAGATAAGTTAGAGGATCCACATATTTATGTGTGCGCACATGCCTTGAGGGAACACTACCAGTCGGCTACACTGGCATAATTTTGCAAACTTTTCATTTTTGATTGCCTGACTATTTAAGGACTGACACTTCTGTATACAAGTATTAAAACAGTTACACAGTCTGTATTACTGAGTCCTGTATATTAAGCTTAATGTGAGAAATCTGGCAAGGGCAGCTGGGTGGTGAAGTACATAGAGCTCTGGGCCTGGAGTCAGGAGGACTCATCTTTCTGAGTTCAAATTGGGCCTCAGACACTTACTAGCTGTGTGATTCTGGGCAAGTCACTTAACCCTGTTTTCCTCAATTTCCTCAACTGTAAAATGAGTTGTAAAAGCTGTAAACCACTACAGTATCTTTGCCAAGAAAACCCCAAATGGGGTCACAAAGAATTGGACACAACTGAAATGACTGAACAAGAGAAATCTAGTATCACAAGACTGCTACTATCTTGTAAAAATATTTATATTGTTCTTTAGCATTGAAACCAACCTAGACTATTTGCCTTTTGTGAAAGCAAAATAACCCAATCTTCTTCAGATAGAATGTTTGTGCCTAAAATCCACAAGTAGCTGCCTTTCTTTGCTACTTCTCCAACTGCTCCTACTTGTCTTTTTTGTCCAGGTATGAGTGTGAAATTCCATTTGGTTCATTCTAGCAGAAGCATGGATCCACTTGGGGAATTTCTGGTCCTTTGGAATAAGAACCCAGAGAGAATTTGCCCAGACCTCTATGCGGGAATCACCTATGGTACAAAGGGACTCATAGAGAATTTTGCAAACTTTTCATTTTTGATTGCCTATGTGGGAATCACCTATGGTATAGAGGGACTCATAGAGAATTGTGTCCTATATAGAAAGGGACATATCGTCCAGACCCCCGTTAGACTGCCTAGACCCCCTCCTTGGATTGCCCAATGCCCTGAGGGAATCTTGGAAGAGTTTCTACCCAGGAAAATTTTAAGCCTCTAGTCAACAATAACTCCCAAATCTCTGTGGGGAGAGCTCCACCTAAGGTGTGGACCAGGTTTTCCTGTGAAATGGGAAGATAGTTTTCTTTGCCTATTTTTTCACTTTTGGGTAAAGAAAGGCCCTGCAAGGCAAAGGCTAAGCAAGCAGAAATATCTGGTAAACTCTGTGAAACGTTGCTTTTGTGAATCTGTAAAACTTGTTATTTGGGTATAAATTAAATTTTTGTTTGTAAATGTGGGATCGTATATACAATCATATAACATAACATTGCCTGTTTTGCAACTTGAGTGTATGACACCAGAGAAGCAAATGAATGGAAATTGCTTCTGCTTCCCCAGAGACCACTAGAGAACTGTTCTGAATTTAGGACAAGGACTTATGTTAATCAAAATACATTCATTCACATTTTTAAACAAGGGTAAACGTATAATGGGACCTTTCAAGCATGCTAAAATGGCTTAACATGGAGACACCCTACCTACTTCACCAAATCCCTTACTATGTTCCCATACCAGGTAGATGATTTGAGAGTTGGAGCAATGATGACTCTTGCAGCCAGGATTCTAGATGTGATGTTGTAGCCTGACAGGAAAGCCCTGATAAGTCTGGGTACCTGGGACTAGAGCCTGAATAGGGTTTTGAACCTGGAACTGGGACTGTATTCTATAGTAAAGAACCAAAGTAAGCTATTTGTATTTTGGTTTTAGTTCCTTTGAAGTAAAAGTGAAAAAAAATCAATTATCAAGACCAAAAAAAAAAAAAAAAAAAAGAACCTAGACAGCATACTTCAACAAATCTTAAAAGAAAACTTAGATCTCTTAGAACCAAAAGGCAAAACTGAAATAATCTACTGGTCACCTCCTGAAAAAAAGCCCCAAATTAAAACTCCCTGGAACATCACAGCCAAAGCTTCCAGGACAAAGAAAAAATACTGCAACCGGCCAAAAAAGAATGAATTCAAGTACCAAGAAGCCACAGTCAAGATCACACATGTTTTGGCATCCACCACTATAAAGGAGTTGAGAACTTGAAATACAAAATTCCAGAAGGCAAAGAATATGGATTTACAGTCAAGGATAACTTTCCCAGAAAAACTGAGTATAATGCTACAGAGAAAAAAAATTGACCTTTAAAGAAATAAAGTACTTTCATTCAAGCTTTCCTGATGAATAGATCAGAGCTCTATAGAAACTTTAATGTTCAAACACAGCAGTTTAAAAGAATATAAAAAGATAAACATGATTGAACAAGGATAAAAGGCTAAACAATGACAAACTGGTTACATTCTAATATGAGCAGATGATGCATGCCCTATCATCATCAGAGGTCATAAAGGGAGTCTAATGGACAGAAGGTCTGAACGTGGTTCTGTTAAGTCTTCATGATCTTAAGAGAAGAATGGAAAGGGAGGGGAAGAGGAATACACAGGGTAAGGTGATGGAGAAAGGGAAGGGAAGATTAGGGGCAATTACCTCAAATAATCAGGGTGAAGGAGTAGACATTTATACAAACAAGGAGGAGGGGGGGAAGGGAGTGGCTGATACTTGAACCTAGCCCTCACCTGAATTGGTCAAAGGAGCAAAGAAGATACATCTCACTGAACAGGGAAACAGGAGAGAAAGTGGTAAAGGGAGAAGAGACAATCTGTGGAAGGACAGATGAAGGGAGGGATGAGTTCTAAGCAATATAAACTCCAAGCATATACAAAAATATTTATAGCTCTTTCTGAGGTGGCAAAAAATGAGAATCTGAGGGGCTGCCCATAAATTAGGGAATGGATAAACAAGTTATGACACATAAATGTGATGGAATAATAATGTGCTGATTTTATCAGCATAATGATCAACTAGGATTCCAGAAGACTAATTATGAAACATGCTACTTACCTCCTGATAGAGAGATGAAGGTCTCAGAATGCAGAATGAGACAAATATTTTTGGAAATGGTCAATGTGGAAATTTCTTTTTAACTACATGTATTTGTAAATGAGTTGGATTTTGGCTTACAAATCAAATACTTGAACTTTTTAAAAAAAAAAAAAAGAATTGTAGGATTTTGAGCTGGCAGGAAACTTAGACGTCTTTTTATGGATAAAGAATTGAGAGCCAGAGAAGTTAGTTATGTACTCAAGATCCCACAGGTACTAAATAGGAGAACCTAGGGTTCAAAGCTGGGCTCCTGACTCCAGAGCTCTTTCCACTGACTGTCCTAAATACCCTGCTTTCGATGATCATTCACTACTTGATAGCAACTGGTACTCACTCATAATCATCAAACACTGAAAACTTTTTCTATTCAGTACCTTGCAAATTTGCCCCACAATGTAGAAGTGGATTTATCGAAAAATTCCTTTCTACAAAGGCCTCTCTACCTCCAGCTACAGAGCCTGGAAGGTGTGAGTCACAGATCTGAATTGTACTGGCAAGTACCTTTCCTCTGATGAAAGCCTCCATGTCCAAAAGAGACTGTGATCCTGTTTCATGACTCCATTTGTCACTTGCACGCGCTCGCGCGCACACACACACACACACACACACACACACACACACACACACACACAGGAAGAAGCTATTTCAGTTTCCTACTTTACAATCTACAAATTTCTTCTTGTTCTACACCAGGAAATACAGGCAATCAGAAGGACTGCTAGAAACATGAAGCAAAATCTCAAAGTTAAAACAGAGTCTGAAGAGAGAAGCCAGAAAAACAAATATTGGTCTGGG